TCTGGGGAATTCTGGAAGTTGAAGTCCACACATCTTAAAGTTGTTAAGGTTGAGAAATACATGAAAAGAGAGGAAATAAGGATAGTCTTTATTAATGCTCTTCCAGTGGCCAGCAATAGAAAAATAATATCACAGTCCATAACAGTTAATAGTAACAAAATCACAGTTAATTTAATTATAGTTAATAATAACTAAATTTCATAGAAACAAGAAGTAACAATGGGCTAGGTTAAGAAATAAACACAACACTTAGCAGGCAGCAGCAGATAAAAACCTGATGCTGAAAAATAAACAAAGAAGAATGATGCCTGGCACATTTCTTGACCCAGTGCATTCTGAAGGTAGAATGGCACAGTAGAAAAAAAAAATAATCGAAAACAATCCAGGATATATTTGGGGGGATAATCAGCAGGTTCAGGAAAGGATTAGCACCTCCAGACATACTTGCTGATTTTTCACAATGAAAGAGTTTAAATGATGTGTGCTTGCAGGTAACCAACATTTGAGAAATGAAAGAATTTCAAAGAATCTTATTTGTCAGAATAAGATACTGTGCTGATCTCAGCCTAGAGGAGATTTCCTTGACACAGAACCCCTCAAATTAGCTGAGACAAGGGCTGTTAGAATTTCCAGTTGTAAACATGTTCACATCGCTTTTAGGGGGAATCTCCTCAATGTCAATTGTTTTGCTGTAATATATTCTATCATTTCAGATCCGGTGGAGATCAGGTTGGTCAATGGCTCACACCGGTGTACCGGGAGGGTGGAAGTATTTCATCTCCAGCAGTATGGGACCGTTTGTGATGACAACTGGGACTTGAATGAAGCTGTTGTTGTGTGCCGATACCTTGATTGTGGAACAGCCATTTCTGCCCCTCGTTCAGCTCGGTTTGGCCGAGGATCCGACGCTATATGGTTGGATGATGTTGAATGCACAGGAGCTGAAACTTCCCTCTCTGCTTGCAAAGCCAAGCCTTGGGGAAGCAATGACTGTAACCATGGGGAAGATGCTGGCGTTGTATGTTCAGGTAACTGGCTTTGAGCATGTATCCTACACTAGGAGAAAGCAACACAAGGACAGTTAAATCAGGTTTGTTTCCAACTCTCAACTGTTCCTGATCTTCAGAGAAATCACTGGCTTGAACTGTTTTGTAAACCGTCTCATATTCTTCTTGCAAAGTCTTCTGAATAAGGCTCAGCAGGAGTCATTGAGTATTGCACTGATGTTCTGCTTGTGGATTTCACAAGGACATCTGTTTGGCCATTGTGGTAAACAGGATATTGACTAGATTGGCATTTGGTCTTATCCAGTCCAACTTCTTCCTAAATTTTGTCAGCTGGTGATGATTCCTTCCTCAGGGAAAGGAGATTATTTAATTTCTAGAAAGAGTAGTATGTGGTTGTGTGCTGCATTGCAAATGTAATCAATTCCAACAAGAGAAGAAAACTAGAGAAGACTCAAATTCACACTGGAAACAAGTTGGTATCATCTGTCATACACCCAATCAGCCAAAGAGAGAGGGGATTTAATAAAAGTAATTCCGATGTATCCCCATAATCTGAATCAGAACATACGTTTACAAAGAAAATCATCTCTCCCAATTCTGTTCTTGCTGGTTTCTCTGAAGACCACTGTAGGTCCAGCATAGTTTGAAATACCCTTCCTGTCTCTTGGGAAAATATTTATTCACATCCTGATCTTTCAGAACCATCTAAACTCATTCTCTAGGAGGCTAATCCATTTATCCCTTTGATTTCTTTATTTTCAGAGAATCTCAGGCTAGTCAATGGCACAAATCGCTGCAGTGGAAGAGTTGAGATTCGGACACCAGATAGTGACGAGTGGGGGACAGTCTGTGACCGGACTTGGGACTTAAAAGAGGCAGAAGTTGTGTGTAGGCAACTGGGCTGTGGAAGTGCTGGATCAGCCCCAGGTGAAGCTCATTTTGGGCATGGATCAGGCCGCATCTGGATGGATGATGTCAATTGTGAAGGCTCAGAAAATTCCATTCAAGAATGCAGAGCAAATACCAAGGGGACTAACAACTGTGTTCATGCACAGGATGCAAGTGTTATTTGTTCAGGTAATTTATGATGCCAAAGTTGTGATTTGCAAAATGGAGGAGAAATAATGTGCCCTGGGATGGGATGAAGAGACCACCTGAATTCTATGTCATCTATGATGGAGAAGTGGAGGGAACAATTAGTACAAGGAATTGGAATAAGTAGCATGACAAACTTGAAAGAAGCTATATGGATTGAACAGTCAATTAGATATGGTGGTAATAACAAGGTCTAGATTTATTTCTTGGGAGCTTAGCTTGGCCCAGCACTGGAGAGAAAATTGACAGTTGCCTTAATTTTCTCTGTGGTCATTTTTGCACTAGTGGCTAAGTCTTTGTAGCCTCTAACTATTACTAAACAGATTAAAAGTGGGTAAACCAACAGCAGTGGGGATTGTGTGAGATGACAAATGGAACCTTCCAGATATACAGTAAGTGTTGTGTATAGGTATCTAAATTGTGGAATTCCTTTAGAAATCATATTTGGGGCACAGTTCAGAAAAGGTTCTGGCTCTAATAATGTGGGAAAGACTACCTGCCCTTTTAGCACACATACAAAGAAACATCTTAAAACAAACAAAGCAACATCTTTTAAAAATGGATGACATCCTTTGCATTCAGGGAACACAGACTATTAAGTTTTCTTGTTTTCTTTGGCCATCCAGCTTGATCACCTATGTACAGTATATGTGCAAAGGGGAAGAGTGTCAGGTTCTGAACTTAAAATGAAAAAAAAAATAGGAACAATATTCTCATACAGGGATAGACATTAGACAATTGGGCCTTTTCTTTCAATTTGCAAGTCAAAAGGACATGGCAGTGACCTCAGCAGAGTTTGTATTTTTTGATTTCTTAGGGAAGGATGGTAAGTCCTACAAAAGTTCTACAAAAGTATAGTGCATCTATGTTATAAGAGATCCAAGAAAACACAATAAATGTACTACCAAATTTTCTATTTGAAGGAAATATTTTGGGATTGCAAAAATGGGGTGGAGCCTAGGTTGGACCCCCTTGGTGTAAAGTAATAAGAGATACAAAGCTTTGTTTACTGTAACAAAAGAAGAACCACTGAGTCAGCAGCTGTGTTTAAAATCTTCTTTTAAAAACTTACTTCCGGGTGGCAGTTTTATCTTTTTCTGAGCTTTCTGATGCAAGATCACTGGCCACAAAGCTGTGGCCTCAATCAATGGAAAACATTTTGCCGTATTAGCTCAGCTGTGTGTCTTGTCAAAACTGAACTTTCCCTACTATGAATCTTCCTTGTTTTCATTTCAAACTTGGGATGAGCCTACAATTATTTCCTTTCCTTTCTTTTGCCAAATATCATGCTAGATAGAGGCAGTGGTGGAAACAGAGGGAAGGCAGTTGAGCTAGACTCCTTGGAGCTTGGGGGCAAGAGGTCCCCATCACACTCCCTTGCCCATTCCTTGCCCCACACCTTCATTGCTCAGGGAAAGACTACTCCATCTGGACCACAAAAATGTGGATAATTATTAGAGGAAAGCAAAGAAATGGTATATGTCACACACAACTAAATACATGGAGTCTAATTGTGTGAATGATTAATAGCCTAATCATCACCTAATTCCAGTTAATTAAAATAAAATTCAACATCTTTTGTCCTGTCCCCACCCAGTTCTTGGTCTTTGACAATGCAAGTCTAGTCCTTTGCCAAAAATGGTTTGTACCATCGTTCTGAAGCATTATATAAATATCTTTGCTGCCCCATCTAGTGATTGCCTGGATTTCTGCATTGGACATGGTTGCACAAGTGCTGGGCCTCAGTAGGAACATTATCAAATGGGAAGGAAGGAAGGAAGGAAGGAAGGAAGGAAGGAAGGAAGGAAGGAAGGAAGGAAGGAAGGAAGGAAGGAGTAAAGGGACATTATTGCTACTACCTCTTTCTCTGTTGCTAATCCTGAGTCAGCTGTTGCCCCAGCATTTGCTGGTAGTACAGAGACCCTGAACACTTCCCCAAATTTTGCTGCAGACTGCTTTTTCCCTCTTTTGGCCCTCTTCCTCCACTACCTTCTGGCTCATGAAGAATGAGGGGAAAGAGAATACGCCAAATGTATCTGAGCTGCAAACATCTGGGTGACCGTTACATGGTAAGGAAGAGATGCAGAAAACTTCCTGCTGCTGTCTAGTGATTGTCCAGATGTTTTCAGTTGCGGGTCTAGTATGTCTAAAAGATAAAGATTTTGAGGCAGCTGAGTGGGAAGGGGTTTTCTGAGAGGAGGAGTCATGAGTCTATTCTGAATGGGAGGGGAGAGAAGGTTCTTCCTGAACTGAATGGTGAATAAGGGTAGAAAAGAATACAATACTTTGGGTGGAAGAAGAGGAAGGAAGATACTTCTGAGGCTATAGCAGGGAAGTGGCTGTGTGACTCTCCTCTTCCATTTCTTCCTCCAGCCCTCAACTGCCACAACATGATGGGGATAGTTTGCACTTGAGTTCTCTCATGCTTGGGGGCTGTCATCAGAACGGTTTTCTTGGGGGGGGGGCAGGAAGCTCTACTTGCAGCCTTGAGTGGATGGAAAGCCTGAGTCAAACCCTTTAACCTGTTTTAAATCTGTTCATTTTGTAGAAACATCCACCCTCAATGTGGGGAACATAAGACTAGAAAATGGTCCAAACTCCTGCGCAGGGCGGATTGAAGTCTTTCACCAACAGCAGTGGGGAACTGTGTGTGATGATGGATGGGGCCTTCAAGATGTAGCCGTTGTGTGTAGGCAGCTAAAGTGTGGCATTCCTTTGGAATCCCTGTCTGGGGCACACTTTGGAAGAGGTTCTGGTCCTATTTTCCTGGATGATGTGAACTGCACTGGGACAGAAAGATCACTCAAAGACTGCACAGGACGCTCTGTAGGAGAGCATGACTGTGATCATGGAGAAGATGCTGGTGTGATTTGCTCAGGTAACTTACAGATGGGGGAAATTACAAATTAAGTACAAATGCTTGTAGCTGAAAGTTTAATATTGTTGGCCACAAATTGTGGTTTTCAGCCCAGCCCTTTAACCCAATGAAAGACTGGACTCGAGAAACTCAGTTACTCATTTATTAAGGCACCTTAGTAACTGAGGACTCCTTCCCAAG